ATTAGGGGTGGATTAAACAGTGGCTCAGAAATATTAGGGGTGGATTAAACAGTGGCTCAAAAACAAAACAACAGTGTGGTCATCAACGGTGTACATTCAGCCTAGGAGAAAAAACATTAAAAACAAATTCTCAGAGGAGTACTACAAGGATCTATCCCTGGACCCACTCTGTTTGTGATCTACATTAACAATAGTGTGGGTAATATATCGAGTTATATTATCAAGTTTGAGGACGATAGAAAGATAGTGGAAGGTGACAAGTTCAGAAAGATATCATCCCAACCGCGGAAAATTTTATGAATTAACTTAAAACGACCGCAGGACTGGTAGGTGTTTATGATTTGAATTAACGACCGCAGGACTGGTAGATGTTTATGATTTGAATTAACGACCGCAGAACTGGTAGATGTTTATTAATACAGTGTAGTAAAATGTAAGATTCTCAAATACGTCAACTGTGTGATAAGGAAAAAGACCCAGACGTCGTAAGAACAGCTCAGTGAGTTGAGTTGTAGGTGGGGATTAGGAGGGGGAGGGGAAGGGGGAAGGGAAGGGGGAGGGGAAGGGGGAGGGTCAGCAGTGAAGAAAGCCCCCATAACCAAATTCTTAGAACCATAAATCGTACCTTTGAATATAAGGACAAAAAACTGCTTCTTCACCTCTATAGATGTATCACACGACCCCACCTGGACTACTGTATACAAGCATGGAGACCTCACCTTAAAAAAGAGACAAAAATCACAAGAACAACTGCAGTGCGTGGGACATAGACTAAGGGCCATGTTACTGACAACTCTTCAGACAAAACACAACATGGTGGACCTCACACACACACACACAAACATTTAAAATCACAAACTCTAACCCATGTAATTTCTTCAAGATATTAAATTAAACCCTACAAACACAAGAGAATAATAGCTCCAAGTTCGCCAAGTTGTTAACCAGAACACAGGAGGGTAGAACTTATGGAATAGTCTACCAGTTAAAGCCGTGGGAACAAGATGAACAACAGTGAGTTTCAATATAGCCTCTCGTGGACAAGGTTACAGTATCAAGAATTATGGAGGGATCCTATACTGGCGACCTGTCTCCTTCCTGTTACCTGGCCACCTCTCTCTTTCCTGTGGCCACTTGTTTCCTTCCTGTGGCCACCTGTCTCCTTCCTGTTACCTGGCCACCTGTCTCCTTCCTGTTACCTGGCCACCTCTCTCTTTCCTGTGGCCACTTGTTTCCTTCCTATGGCCACTTGTCTCCTTCCTGTGGCCACCTGTCTCCTTCCTGTGGCCACCTGTCTCCTTCCTGTTACCTGGCCACCTGTCTCCTTCCTGTTACCTGGCCACCTCTTGCTGTGGTGGCCAGGTCTCTCTCACACACACAGAAAAGTGAACAGTACATCTATTTCCAGAGCGAAGGTTATATATAGCTGGGAGAAACCATGGGGGGAGGGATCTGAGGGGAGGGGGGTGAGGGGGGATCTGAGGGGAGAGGGGTGAGAGGGGAGGTCTGTGAGGGGAGGGGATCTGAGGGGAGGGAGGGAGAGGTGCTGACTCCCAACAATGAATCTTTGAACACATCCGTCACAGCTGAGTCCTGAGGGAGACCAACCAACCTTTATCTACCTTCTATCTCCTGCTGCCTCCACCCACTGCCTCCACTCTACTCCTCCACTCACTGCCTCTACTCTACACCTCCACCCACTGCCTCCACCCTGTACCTCCATCCCTGAACCTCCACCCCTACATCCACCCTGCTCCTCCTGCTACCTCCACCTTCACCCACTCCTCCGCCCTACACCTCCACCCACTCCTCTACCTCCACCCACCACCTAACATCTCCACTACCCTATCCAATACCTCCATCCACCCCCACTCAATACCTCCACCCCACCCTACCCCACCCATTTCACCAGAACCCCTTCCCCTACACCTCCCCACCCCACCCATCTAACCAGCCCCCTCCCCCGTACACTTCCCAACCCCCCCCCACACAATAATTATCTCCCAGGTAAACAACACAGGTAACATAATCAGGCTTAGCATCACAAGCGAACAGAGACGATAACACAACACCAGCGTTAAAGTACAGGTATATGATGAAGGTGAAGCCATAACACTTCCCCAAACACCTGAAAATTAATCACCTTAATGTTACCTGGAGGTGGGTGTTAGGTTAGTGTTAGGTTAAATTTGGTTTGGTTAAGTTAGGTCAGTGTTAGGGCAGTTAATCTTCAGGTGAAATACTGTTAGCTGGGATGTCTAATCTTCAGGTAAAATAAGCTAGGATGTCTAATCTTCAGGTAAAATAAGCTAGGATGTCTAATCTTCAGGTAAAATAAGCTAAGATGTCTAATATACAAATAAAATAAGCTAAGATGTCTAATCTTCAGGTAAAATAAGCTAGGATGTCTAATCTTCACGTGAAATAAGGTAAAGTGAGTTAGTGTCTAATCTTCAGGTGATATGTTTACCCAGAGTTTTTTCTATTTATAGGAGTGTAAAAATTCACGTTTGCTTCATATTGAATATACAAATTTATGTACAGTATCTACCTTTATTTTAATAACTTCAATTTACATATCCCAACATATCTGCAATATAAACATATTCCTTTTAGATAAACAAAATACTCACTAACAAGGCAAATGCTGCTTTACGAGGATAAGGCAATTTGCTCGTTTGTAGCAGGTAATTGTGTGCTAAAGAAAATACGTTTGTTATTGTTAACTTGGTAACTGTCAGCTGGCACAAAGTTCTTCACTGAATAATCGCAATATCGTCAAAAACGCCATTCAGGACCAGATCGTCACCAGTGCTTTAGTTCTTATATTTTTCCGTTATAAGTATTACCTAAAAGTGGTCGTAAAATTCGTTCTAAAACAACCTGGTTCTTATTTGTGGTGTTTACAGGTTTTTCAAGTACTACAAACATATTTACAAGTGTAGTCAACGTATTTACAAATGATCTTACATATAATTTTACAAGTGGCGCTGACGTATTAACAAGTGATGCATGGGATGTTTACGAGTGACTTCATAACATTCTAAGCCGCCTGACAGATCCCAACAGGAATACGAGTGCTGAGGACAAACTAAAATAGAATCTTTTCCAGAATTTACAGCAGCTGCATTCCAAGTGAGAGTGGTGAACAGGGAGATAGACAAATTAACAGGTATTCCATGCAGCCCTCGAGTCTGGCTAATAGTGGGCAGATGTAAACGTAGCAAGTTGAGTTTTCATATTTAATCTGCTGGACAGTAAACGTCGTGTTGATTCAGGTAAGTGTTTTAACCCTTTGAGGATAATGTTTTGTACCTTTTGAATATAATTTTTTAATCCTTTTAGTTGTTGTTTAACCGTTTGAAGGCGATATTTGAACCACGTGATGATACTAATTTGAACTATTTAAAGATGATGTTTCTTTAAGTGCTGTTTCTCTAATAGAAACTTAATTTAACATTCAACCTTCTGTATTATCAACGTGCAAGTTAGTGTGAATAAATCATCATCGTCTGTTAAAATATTGTGATAAAGAATTACATTACCTGCTTGCGATTGATAACCTAACGATTAATGAAATATAAACCAGAATATTTATCTCTCATAGTAGATTCCATTTCATTATTGAGGTTTGAATTTATTCCTATAAAGTAGTAAGTAGACCAAAGACTCTATTCCTTCAACAAAGTGGCAAACAACAACACGATTTTAGCAGGAATGAAGTATGGAATTTACCAGATTTGGATGTGCTTTTGGTTCAGTGGTTCAAATTCCTGCTTTCATCAGGCATAAAGTGTGGTGTTTTTGTGTGAAGGCAACAGTCTGTACTTGTCGCTTTATAAAAAAATAAATTCAAAGTAGCAATAACAGCAAATTACACCTTGAAATGAATATTAATATGAAAGAAGTATTTTGATATAATTATTCCTTGTCTTATATTATTGAGTAACAGTTAAGAGCAGGTGAAATATGTTCTTTTACCGCGTATTAAATCTTCACAACACCCAGGGGATCGTCTCGTATGTGCATCAATAAACTACTATTTGAGCGACTAAACAGATCCATTATTCACTATGGAGGAAAGTGAAGAGCAAGAGGTAATTTGTTTGGACCCATTAGAGGAGTTGGATAGCGAGTTGCCCAACCTACCCACCAACCCTCAACAACTATTTGATGGTGAGATGTTAAAGTCACTTCTTAATCGTAAAATATAATTATCCTATCCAACATGTCAGGTTATTTGAGTAATATTGTAATTTCATGATTAAACACTGGACATGCACTGGAGCAGATTCAGATACATTCAGGAGTTAGTGCATGCCCAGTACTTGTGAATTTTGAAGTTGTCTCGCGGTAAAGTTATTTTAAAATTCACTACCATGGTTTTATGTCTCCATCAGAATTTCCAGACACGTATTATTTCTTTTTTTGTGATTTTAGTAACGCATTGATCTTAAAAAAAATGTGAACAGCGGGTAACTTTCATTAGGTATACAGTGCTGTGTATTGTATATTGTATAAAAGGAATTCCCCTTATCCTAGAGATGTATAGAAATTTTGTGTGATGAATTAAATAGATGTATTATTAATTCATGAACAATCTAGTCCTCATAATAATAACATTGATTATTTCTTTAATATAAATTATTTCTCAAGTCGTACATTTGGCCAGAAAATAAAGAAAGAACCTTTTATAAGCGTATTTAGTGATATACATGCATCAATTTATTAACAAACACGAAATATACCAAAATTTTACGTATTAACAGTAGTAATTTAGTAAATATTGTAGTTTTAAATCACCCGCCGCATAGTTATTTTCCAGGTATGTACACAAAGCATTATATCCAGTCTTTAAATTACATACAGGTACAAATCACCTAAAATAAGACTAGAAAATAAATAAAAATAAATCCACATTAATAAACATTTACATATTAAACAAAGTATGTAGTTTTAAGTATGTTCAGAAATATATAAATGTTACTTAACGTCGAAACACAATTGCAAAAATGTCAACAAATAACGGTAGCTATAATGGTGTATCCTCTCCTGTTATAACTCCTAATTACACCTTTAAATTGTAATGATACCTACCTTAAGCACCTAAACTCAGTGATAACAGTCATGGTGGTAGTTTATACGTGACTAGAGACCAATTGAAGGTTTTTTAATGGAGGAAATTGTGGATTGTTCTTATGGATGTTATTGTTACTATTAGGTGTTATTTGTTTAAGTGTGGTTGTATTGTTTATGGTTGGGTTGTATAGGTTATGGTTGTTTATGGTAGTGTATAGTTATTGATTAGTCTGGTATTTTATAGTTGGTTGGCAAGTGCTGTTAGCCTTTAGGGTTCGTGTTGTGTAAAGATCTTCATAAGTATATATTATTAATTTTAATTTACAAGTTATTCATGATTCTAATGGTGTTATTTATTCATTATGATGTGAAAATAAAAAAGGTACATTTCATATATATATATATATATATATATATATATATATATATATATATATATATATATATATATATATATATATATATATATATATATATATATATATATATATATATATATATATATATATAAGCACATCAATTTCACTGTTATATAGTGGACACTCGTAATTTGTGCAAATGTGTTAAAAGTGGTTATTTCTAAATTAAACCTAACCTAACCTAACCTAACCTAATCTTAGTTATGAAAAACAAGCAACAGAAGCGTTGATAGAAAATCAACCTAACCAAACAAACCTACCTAATCTTAACTAACTTCCTAGTTGGGTGGTTCCACCTCAAGACCCCCCCACCCCCCCGTATATTAAACAAAGAACCTAATATGATATGGTGTAATATTAGGTTTTTTGTGGACATGAGAGCAACCATCTGTACCGAACGGTTCTTAAGCATGCACTGAGCATTGGCGTTGATAAAGCCCGAGCAGCGGAGTGTTTTGAAATACATCGGTATGATTGGCTCTTTACATCCTGGGATGAGACGTCACTACCGCATTACTGCCAAGAAGACAGTGTAGTGCGCGCCTAGGTGCCTAATTATCTGCCAAACGAAGCATTTGCACAATAAATGATTATCATATCAGAACTCACTGATGAAAATAAAGGAAGAAAATAAACAGTAAAACAAATGACTCGTCCGTGGGTCAGTCGTCAATATTAACCCAGGATACATAACTTTTCTATTCTAATTTAATAGTCCGGTTATGTACAGTAGTCTAGTCTGCCGATCTGAGAATTCACATCTAAGTTTCTTCCAATATTTATATTGGTAGAATGAAGATCGCATGTTGTAGTAATATAAAAGAGACATTGTTCTGTACTTGTGCTCCTATTAGAAAAAGTATCTAGTTATCGCATTGATGGAAAATATCTTGATTGGGTAAGGAGTTTTTTAATTAAGAGAAAACAGAGGGTTGTGGTAAATGGAGAAGTATCTGACTGGAGAGAGAGGTCACTAGTGGGGTCCCTCAGGGTTCTGTCCTTGGCCCCCTGCTGTTTGTCCTTTTTATCAATGACCTGCCTGAGGCAATTAAACACGACAGTAAGGTATATCTATATGCGGATGACACAAAGATTTTTAGGAAAATAGAACGAGATGAGGATTGTGACATGCTGCAGGAGGACCTGGATGAGATCAGGGGTTGGACTAAGAAGTGGATGCTGAACTTTCACCCAGAAAAAAGTAAATACATGAGGATAGGAAGAACAAAAGTTGCTGACCAGGGATATCATATGTACACCACGATCAAGAAGACCACTGTAGAGAAGGATATAGGGGTAGTCACCGATGATAAGCTGACGTTTTCTGACCATCTAGCTGAGAAAATCAACAAGGCTAATAAAATAGTGGGCATTATTAGAAGAACTTTTGTTCATCTGGATGCACCTATATTCAAGGCTTTGTACACTGCTCTGGTTAGGCCACACCTTGAGTATGCTAATCAAATTTGGTGCCCATATCTCATTAAGGATATTGAAGCAGTAGAGAATGTACAGAGGAGGGCTACCAAATTAGTACCACAGATCAAGGATTTATCTTATGAGGAAAGACTAAGGAAATTACAGTTACCGACACTGGCGTACAGAAGATCTCGTGGGGACCAAGTGGAAACATACAAGATAGTGTGTGGCATATATGACCAGGCATGTACAGCAGGAATGTTCCAGATGAGGGAGGCTGACACTACCCGGGGGAACTCAAAGAAGATCTACAAAACAAGAGCGAGGCTAAATCTCAGAAGACACTCGTTCACGAGTAGGGTTGTCAACAACTGGAATGGGTTACCTGAGTGGGAAGTGAATGTGGAGACGGTGGAAAAGTTTGAAGCAAAATTAGATAAATACTGGAAAAATCAAGAACAAGTATATAATTATAGGGCACAAATATCTGCCACACGCAGCCACCGTCTGAGTAGAGAAGAGGCTATTGAGCTGGAGTCACAGGCGTGAGCCTCTTCCAGAAGATCATCTGTGAGTATCTGTGATCATATCTCTCTGAGTATCTGTGAGTAGTTCCTTGAGAGACGTGACCTAACCTAGCTTAACTTTACCTATCCTGACCTAACCTAAATATCTTGTAAACCACACACTATACTAGCACCTGAATTTAGCCTTATCTTGAGTATAGTTCAGAGTAAGTCTACAAATAGCACTTTATATATTTTGTATTTCTTATGCTTGTGGCGACCTGTGGTGTAATGGTCAGCATGTTTGCCTCGTAAATGAGTGGACCCGGGTTTGATCCCCGGGCAGGGTGAAACTATGGGCAAGTTTCTTCATGCCATTTGCCTCTGTCTACCCAGCTGTAAATGGTAACCTTGATGTTAATCGATTTGCGGATCATGTTCCGGGTAATGGTTAGCCAGAGCAGTTGCCGAGTTATCTGAACTTCTCGGACTATTCCTTGACACTGGATCATGCAACCATTATTTATTATTATTTCTTATGTTCTTCCTGTGGTAATTCAAAGTCCAGTCTCTGTATGATGTGTCGTGGGTCAAATGTAGATTTTTTATTAGTATTTTTTTTTTTTTTTTTTTTTACGGGGATTAGTACACCCAGCACAGGTCATCAACCCACAACGGGGCCTAGGGGGCGAAAAAATAAGAGTAAAAAGAAATTAAAAATAGAAAAGAAAGGTTCTATTAATCTACACCACAAAGATGCCGGAAAACCAGCTTTTTGAAGTGAGACATTGCAGAAGACAGAGCATTTCACAGTTTGGCTGTGTGAAGAAAGAAGGATGTACTATAACGGTTTATTCTAGTGTGACCGACATCCACACAGAAACGGTGGGCACCGCTGGCAAGACGTGTGTTACGAGTCCATGGCCTTGCCGAAGCAGGCACACAGGATGCCAAACCGACATCCACTGACCGCTGGCAAGACGTGTGTTACGAGTCCATGGCCTTGCCGGCGGCACACAGGATGCCAAATCCACTGAACATTGCCCATTTAAGTACCCGGTGATTTATTATTATTATTTTTTTTGTCAACTTTTATTTAGTTCCTAGAATTTTATGTATCTGTATTACAATATGACTTTTTGAACATGTTGCAGTCAAGATCTGTAATAAAATTTGAAAGAAAAAGGTCAGATTTCCGTATGAACTGCAGCATTTATTACACTTTCATTTACAATTCTTGAAGATCACACGATCCACCCTAACCTAGTATAGCCACCTAACATGGCCTAATGATTTTAGAGTATATTTATGTTAAGTCAGGCAGATGAGGATGGGTGTGGTTGGATCATATCTTCTACAGTGTCTTGCATTAATGGTTTACCTTTGTACGTAATGATTCTACAGTACACACACCCTGTTTTGTATTTTGGATAAACCTCTGTACAATATTAACACTTTGGGAATATGTTTCAATTTTTGTTTTGTTTGCATAGTCTTTTACAATGTGTGCAGTAGCTACAGTGTTTTGGTGGATTCTGGTACTTAGTGAGACACTAACTTTACATCAAGATTATGTAAGATAAATTGAGGTATATGGATGGGACCATTATCATTTTTCCATATTTTTTTCCTTTCATATGTACAGTGCAAGTATGTACTGTGGTTCTAGGGGATTTCAACACCAAACAGCTGATCACCAGTTCAGTATAAACCTAACCTAACTTAACCAAACTTAACCTTTACCTAACCTAACCAAACTATCCTAACCTAACCTAACTATGGCTTCATGGCTTCCAAAATAAAATCATTATTATCTAGAGTTTAATAAATATAACATGATATTTAATAGACAGGTGATGAAAATTCTTCCCGTCAGCTTTTATAAACACTGATGTGGGATCTTGTATCATCCACTCATTACACTACTGTTCTCATATCTATATAATTTTTACAGCTTTAGATGAGTCCATAGAGATCCTAGAGGAGGTGCAGGTCAACCAGCCACTGGGTGGAGGGACGAGCATCGAGCTAGAGGTACTTTACGATGGCCATGGGCAACAGGTTATACACGTAAGTCTGGAATTTTACTTCTTGTGGGGTGGAAGTGCGATATTCTCTTTTTCCATATCTGAATTATTGATATTTTCTATTGATTGTTTTCCTTTGAACGATAATTTACAAGGATTTTCCAATGTTATGTTGACTTGGAAGATTATAATTCACCGTCCAGAATAAGGGTTGAATATGATAGTTTTTAGCTGTTATATCAGGTACTGTACAGTACAGTCCTCTGGTTGGATATATTTTGCCAGGCTTGGGAAAATGAAATAAGCTACTTGACAGTACATATATTTGTTTGACTTTATCAGTGGTGTACAAGATCACTGGATATGTATGTTTTTTTTGCACTGGCTCATATTGTTATTTAATAAAAGGGTTGTTTATGATAACCCTTCAAAAAATGCCAAATTTCATCATCATAATGAAAAATGGCCAATTAGTTTATTTATATATTTTATTTATTTATTTATTTAATTTTTCTTAATGAGGAATTATCCCAAATGACTTCTGTACTATACTAGTCCAAGTTTGCATTCAGTTCTAAAATGTGAAGATGTCTTATAATAGTCACACACTCATGATAGATATAATGACTTGTGATATTATCATGACCGCTAAGGTGTTAGAGGTTAGGTCCATCAGAATGAAGGGGAAAATGTAAATTCTAGTCGAGTATTATTTCCCCATATAGGAAGCTTAAACGTGCTTTATTATCCAGCTATATAGTTGTTGTGATACAGTGCCGGGTATTGGTAAGTCAGTCTTACTTTAAGGTTAGGTCTTGATGGTAGAGGAGAGGAAGATCACCTTTGAAGGATCCATCTATTCCAACTCCTTCCTTGTGTTTAACAGACTCAGCAGCTGGCTCCTGCACAACAACAGGAGCAGCAGCCACATGAGGAAAGTGTCCCTCTGCGCCAACAGACACAACGACCCCAGCGCCAGCGACGGCCAGTACAACAGTATCACCAACAGCAACAGGAACAGGAGCAACAAGCGGCGCAGCAGAGGTTACAGCGTCAGCAGCAGCGTCAACAACAGCAAAAACAGCAGCAGCAACAGAGAGCCCTTCAGCGTCAGGCAGCACAACAACAACAGAAACAACAGAAAGTGCAACAGAGAGGAGTCAAACGGAAGGAGACCGACGTACATGTGGTGGGCGAGGTCAAGGCACAGAAAACGGGGCGCGGAGAGGTGGGAGGAGCTGGCACACTCAAGTACCGCAAAAGGGTAAGTTCGTCTCATAACACTCGACAACAAAACCTAACTAGCGTATTTAACTTTGGCTAATATTGACGACTACACCGCTGACGCGTTGTTTGTTTTGATGTTTATATTCTTACTATATTTTCATCAGTGAGTTCTGATATGATATTTCTTTGGGGGTTTGGTTAGGTTAGTTTAAGATTAGGTTTGGGGAATTTTTAAATAAGCATTCTTTAACACATTTGCCATAACTATGACAGTGTCCATTATAAAACACTAATATTGCGGCATTTTTTAAATTTGTTTTCTTTAAAAAATCAGTGACAGTGTAGTCATCAATAATTACCTTAATTTTTTTTTTTTCACTAGTCATCAATGAAATGCCTAAAGCAATTAAATCCTTTGGCCACCCACCAGATTCCAGACAATGACGTGGAGATCATCTTCGAGTGGGATGCCGCCAAGGTGATTGCGGAGCGGCAGAACGTTGAGGAGTGGGTGGCGCGTAACGTGATCACTATGTTCGACCAAGAGAACACGTTGCCTTTCATTGCACGATACCGAAAGGATAAAACAGGCAACATGGAGGTGGAAAAGCTCCGTGAGATCCAGAATTCCTACTCACAGCTAAAGTAAGTCATACCTGTACTGTATTGTTAATAACATTATTGGTTAATTAAGGTGAGCTAAGTGATTTTGATGTTTACTTTACTCATTCTTTTCCCCGCACTTGAATAGATATCATATACTTTAGAAACTTGTTATTGAATATTAAAGAAAACTGGTGCATTAACTCTTTGTGTTTGGGGTCCCCTCTGAGGTGAATAAAATTGTCTGGCCTTATCCAAGTAAAATATTAAAAATTGGGTCCCCATATTGAAGGGATTAACTATATATTAATTCATCCTGTTTCTCTTCACAGGCATGTCCAGGAGAGAGTGTTGAAGGTTCTGAAGGGTAACCGCAAGTGCCTGCCAGAGGACCGCAAGGCCTCCCTCCTCCGTGCCACCACGATGCATGAAGTGGAACATCTGGTATGTCTTTGCTCACAATATAAGCATGACATTACTGTGAGATTATAGAGAGAGGAAAGTCCATTATATGGAGGGTTCATTATATGTAAAACCTCCATCTAACAACTATAGAGATAAATGTCTGTTATATTGAGGGTCTGTTAGATGGAGATAGAAGTCCATTATATAGGGATTTCACAGTATCTATCTCACCTTTCTCAAATTTTTTATCTTGATAGCGATTCAACTTTTATTAACTCTTAACTGGTTACCTGGTTATCACACTTAATACACCCAGAGTGGCTGAGAAAGAAAGATTTGTGTTTTGCGTCAAAAATTATCCCAATCATTTATCCATGAGAGAGAAAATACGCACCACTCACTCATTTAAAGATCTCGTGATAATGACATTTAAACCCCTGAGAAAGGATGGGTGTCTGTGTTTATTAAGCCATGTTCTTCACACCTGATTCATCTGATGGATAGAGATGAGCCTTGTTATATATGGCAACACTCGGGCTGGTAACATTGCTGCCTAAACATGGCAAGATAATTCCTTCTTAGCGATGATTTTTACGAAGTAAAAAGTGACCATAGCTTTAGATCAATAATTGTTTTTATTATACAATCTATAATAATAATAAAAATAATGTGTTCTATACATGATATACAGTAGATTCTAGGAATGTGTGTTTAATATTGATTCTCTTAATTGCTTTGCAGACAGCAGCATATAAGGGTAGCGGGAAACGCACTTATGCTGAGCGGGCCAGAGAGCTCGGATTGGAACCTGCAGCTCTGGAGGTCATGCAAGGAACGCACAATAAGTTTGTAAGTCATTCAGAGAATTTGGTAGTGGGGGGGGGGGAGAGATTTTCCACTTTATGGAAGGGTGGTAGTGTAGTGTTAGAGAAAATTTACAAATCTGGAAAGGTTTCTTACAATATCCATCAGAAAATAACTGATGAGAAGATAAAACAGTGAACGATTTGTAAAGAATAAGAAATGGCTGAACCGAAATCTTATCATTTTGTGCACGACTGTTACAGATGAACCGCCAGGAACTGTACTCCCTCATGGACCCGAACAAAGAAGGTCTTCGCACCATAGAGGAGGTCGAACAGGGTCTTCAACACATCATCGCTGACGTCATCAGTAAAGACCCTCAAGTATTAGACTGTGTGCGCCAACTGTAAGTACTGTACACACTAGGGTTCCTTACATGTATTGCTGTTTCTTGTTTATTTACTAGTGGCAAGAAGATGATGAATGTATTAGTATTAAACCCTTGATAACTCGGCATTCAATATCAAGGAATTTCATATAATTCGGCATGTATGTTGTCTCGGAATTTATCATAAATAACTCGGGAAATGCCGAGTTATATAAAATTATCTGGGGAAATCTCGGCATATTTGGGCGCGTGGGAAACACTCGTCGTGCTACGCTCCACACTTGGTCAGTCTGGTGTTTGTTATTGTTGTGGCTGGGTGTGTGCTGGTTTACTGCACCCATTACATGGATGTGGGGGGGGGGGGTGCTGTAGGACCCTAGTATTTTGGTTATAAAATACTATACAGTAGGATCTCAAGTTTCACGACTTAATTGATACCAGTTTTAGTGTCACGAAATTTAAAATCACGAAACGAGTGACATTGAAATACATGCAAATAAGCCTAATCGGTTCTGCGGTGTCACCCAAACCCCCCTACAATGACCTACAACCCACCAAGAAAATGACATTATTGTAATATATTTATACATACCGGTATTGTTGACAACAATATTTATATACACTCATACTGTAGAATAACTTACCTTGATGGAGTCAGTGTAATGCTTGACGGTGCTGATTGATGGGTTCCGAGGCAGGGAGGGCTGGTTACTACTGTTTCCTCCCTGCTCCCTCATTGACACCTCCTCTAACCTTAGCATCAAATCCCTCAAAGTCTTGAGGCAGCTCTTCCACCAGTAAGTCACCCAACACTTCAATATCATCATAGGTGGTGCCATCATCATCTCCTAAAGTGATGTTTGCCAAGTCAGTAATAACAGGCTGGGCCTTGCGCAAGTGCCCATTAATAAGGGCCTACTGACGATAATTAACGCGGGACATGTACAAGGTTTTTTATTCCTCCATAACTTTATCAAGTACAGGGCAGATAAGGTTCCGAGGATGAGGCCTGTTATCGTATTCTTCTAGCTGTTCACTGAGACGTGCGATGCTTGTGAGCACTTCAGTCAGCTGGCGTGTTGTAGGTTCACCAGGCTTAATGTCATCCTCTTGCGTTGCTTGGGGTTCATATTGTTCTTCACCCTCCTCCAACATTTCTTCAATTGTTGGTTGCTGCTGTTGTTGACCAACGATTTCTTGCAAATCTTCAACTTGAACATCCGAAAATCCCGGTGCTGTGACTGACTGTGTTGCCTCCACTGTATCCATTCGTGTTGCCGCCATGAACTGCCTCTCCCTGCTTGCCTCAGTCTGCTCTGCCCAACTTACCTCAGCATTAGCGAACAAAGGCTTCCATGTCTGTAGCACTGTTGCAACATTAATCTTGTGCCTTGCCTCAACAATTCTGTCCACTGTATTTTAAATATTATGTTTCTTCCAAAATTCACAAACTGATAGCACTTCACGGTTGCGGGGTGGTGAGGCGCTAGGAGTCATGTCGTCTACCATCTCCTCCTCCTCCTCTTCTTCCTCCTCTTCCTGGTTATCTGGTAGAGCCTGGTCACTGTCAGAGTGTTCTGCCTTGATTTATTATAACTCGACTAATGACTCTGTCTGCTGACGAAAGTCTTTATAGAGTGACTGATAGTAGAACAGTTTAACATTGCTGATGAATTCGTGGTCACGTGGCTGCAGAAGTGATGTGGTGTTAGGAGGAAGGAAGATAACTTGTACATTAGGGTGGCGTCCAATTAGAAACTTAGTGTCCATGAGCACTGTCCATCTCCAGGATCACTTTAAAGTCAATGTTCATCCTCCAGTAGTACTGTTGGGTGTCAGGAACAAAGTGCTTGTCAAACCAATCTGTGCATAAAGATGATGTAACCCAAGCTTTCTTATTAGATGTCCAATAAACTGTGACATATTGGCATGACGGTAGGCTCTAGGACGGGCAGCACGGTTAACAACCAGGGGTTTCATCAAGCAATCTCCACTTGCATTAGCTGTGAGTAAAACTGTAATCCTGTCCTTTGAAGTCTTTGTACCCCTTGCCTAGTTTTCATCCTTGGCAATGAAAGTGTTCTTAGGTGAGCGCTTCCAGAAAATGCGTATGCACTGTTGAAGAAGGCATGACATGAGTGATTCAGTGGGACTCAGAGCGTCATGAGGAGCTCATTGAACCCAACAGGCATTTCAGTTAGCCTATGTAGGATGCATTGGCGGATGGCAAAGCCAACTCCATAAATGTAGTTTCTCTCCACAGCAGGCTTACCCTTCCAGAAGAAAGTATAACCCGATCCCCATTCTGTGAGTTGATCCTCATCTGGGAGCCAGGACTAACTAATGGCTACAATGTTGATGTTATACCGAGCCAGCTCTTTTGCCACAAGGGCGGTTCTTCTTTCAGGACGCTCATTTGTGCCAGAATCCAGAAGGGTCCTGACATTCCATGCAGCGACCATAAGAGGTTGTATAGTTTGTTTTTGTTTTGTTCTGTGATTTTGATTGTGTTTTTGACTGCATAAGGATGACCTTACTGGGTGCAGTTGCCCAGTCAGGTTGGTGCTATTTAGGCAGGCTATGTTTAGGGCACCTTTTCTAGCCCCCTCCCCATGTGGGGCGAGGAGAGTGGGTCCTCGAAAGGGCTGCTCAATCTTATAGGCAGGACAAGATTGCACAGTTGCCTAGATCCCAGTGCATTAACGACCATCTTATCTATGCCGCCCATGTGCTGAATTGTGACTAGAGACTCCCGGCAGTCAACTCTGCCTGTCCCCGTCGCCGTAGGACTTTTGGGGGTATATGAATTTTGATGATGTTGAGAAGTATGATGAATTGGATAATGGAAATGTGTGAGTTGATTTATGTGAAGAGGCAGGAGTGCAGACTGCAACCACACATCTTGGCTCTCCCTTTTCCTGATCCAGTGGTGCAAGTGTTGCAACAACTGGGAAGAGGGAGAGTTGCAATGGACTGCCGATAGCCCAGTTTGTTGGGTTTTGCCTTAGTAACCTGTCCATCATGCATTGCCTGCATCCGCTGGTGTAGTCGTTGGTTTCCCATGTTGGTCACCTCTTCCGCCTACACCACCGTTGGGGTCTTGGAGCTCTGTAAGCATGTCTGCCTGTTGCAGGGTTACACCACAGATTTTTCGATTGGGGTTGACTCCCGTAGCCTTATACCTACCAAGGTTAGTAATTACATGTACACGTACAGTGACATCTCCGTTCACCAGAACAATTGTTGCAGAGCACTTCTGAGAATGGGGAATTTCCGGGTAACAAGGTGAATCTCAATGCCGGAAAAAATCCCTCATCCCCGGAATTTTCTGGGTCAGTGAAAAAATTTCTCGTAAGTTCCTGAAATTGTGCATACATCATTTCTTGAACCCGGAAAAATATCCCCCATCCCTGGAATTTTCCAGATACCGTACCAGAAAATTTTTCTCGGAATATTCAGAAAATGCGCCTGATTTTCATCTCTCAAACCCAGAAAAAAAATTTCCCCATCCCCGGAATTTTACGGGTCTGAGAAAATTTTCTAGAAAATGAGGCCTTCGGAATATTTTTCCCAAACCCGGAATTTTCTGGAAAATTCCAGCTTTGGTAATGATTTTCCAAGAAAATTACAATTCCAGCTATCGGAGACTTCCGGTTAAGAGGGATTCCGGCTTTGGTAATATTACTGTATATGGGCCAATAATTTTTTATTGTTGTCTTTTTTTAGGGGGGAGAAGTACCTCACTATGTCAGAATTTGGGATAATTCGACAAGGCCAAAGCCCCATACGTGCCGAGTTATCAAGGTTTACTTAGTAGTAATATGATGTGAAAAAGATCTTTAGTGGCCTGGGGTTCACAAGCTTCAGGTTTTGGTTATGGCTCTGAGTCTGTCTTTAGTATGTGAGACTTAATACTTTAATCTTGTTAAATGTGTGGACTCTTGGTACTGTAACTATTTGGAGTCCTGGTAACATTTCACCTGTTATATTCTATGTTATATGAGTACCAGTTGTTGGGCAGATATAATAAAATGCATTTAGTGTTATCTAAGAATAGAATGTACAGTAAAAGTCCAAAAATCCGGATGCTAGAAATCCGGACCACCCGAGAATCCGGACTTTTCGAAAACTCACTTTTTTTTTTTTTAATTAGCGGGCTTTTGTGTGTATGTGCGCATGCATGAGCGCCACAGCTGCACAGCAACAACAAACGACCACGCGGTGGCCACTTTAAAACGAGCAATCAAACTGTGACAACGTATGTAATTTTGAGTCCTACTCTTTCCATTAACAGAGTACTGTACAAGCCCATAATAATGGCTCCTAAAGTAGATAAACTTTGTTGTATGAAGAGAAAGAAGAACACGTTGAAATTGAGTGACAAACTTGAAATAATTAAGAAACTAGAACGTGGTGGGAGCAATACTGTTCTAATGGAAACATACGACATTGGAAAGTCTATAATTTGATATAAAAAAGGCAAAGAATAAAATTCTAGAATTCACAGCTTTTTCCATAAAACTGCTCGTTTTGATGAATGAAGCATCTTATATTTGCTAATGAATAAACTATCAAAATGTACCTGTTCATCTCATTCTTTATTCCTCCTTAAATTTGAATTTTAAAAGCACTGCCTGAGAATCCGGAAAATCCGAAAATCCGGACCGACCCAATCCCCAAGCAGTCCGGATTTTTGGACTTCTTCTGTATGTGAGAATTATAATGTAAAATTTTTTATTTGTTGACCCCTCAGATGCATGAGCAGCATGAATTGAAAGTTCCATTGTGAAATTTTTAGTGTCACCAATAGTTATGAAATGATGTCACTTCTCTTTCTTGATGTAATTAACACAAAACATTCCTTGTTAATTTTTGGAATACACAGGGGTACCCGGGTTACAAACGGGTTCTGTTGCTGAGGACGTTCTTAAGTCGGAACACGAGCCATGTGCATACCTTACTTACAGAACAATGTTTAAAATCCCACTATATCATAGTCTTAAGTCCTTATATACATCTAAAATCACTTAATTTAAGACAAAAGAAGAAATGGAATGATAAAACACAGTTAATGAACATAAAAAAGTAATCAGGTAAATAAAATACAGTACTGTAAATTTCAAGTTAAACCCCGTTCGTATCGGCAGGTTTTCGTACGTTGGACATCCGCAAGTCGGGGACCCCCTGTCATTTAGTCTTTTAGATAAGTTTATTATTGGTCAACTTGTGTAAGAAGGAAAGTAGCTTTGAAGAAACTTGGACTTACATTTTTTTAGATACACCGCGACTCCTGTTGTCTCGATACGATTGTCAGAATCCTTCGTCCGTTGTCATATTATCTCACACAAAATCGTAAAAGATATTTTGTTGACCGAGTGTACACAAACAATTGTGGAATGAAAGGTGTTATCCTGAAAATAAATTAATCAAAGTGTTTATTGTCTGCTGCAGTATGAAGCTCTGTAAGCCGTTGCTGGAGTGTGGTAAAGCACGCAAGCAGCAGAAGAGAGACCAGGGCAAGATGGTGAGCCGGGGACCAGGACCAAGTGATGACCTCTGTGCCAAATATCAAAACTACTTTGAGTATAAGAACCTTGCATGGCACACCAAGCCTCATGCTGTGAGTTCTCGGCTTAACGACTGTTTTTAAATAAAGTTATATTATTTTATCTTGTTATTCTCCATTTAATAAGAAGAAGTGACTGCTTGTGGAAGTAGTAGTTACATTAGAAAGGAAGATTTTTATCATAATTATATAAAGTAATTGATTATGGCTTAGGAATAGCTTACCAGCACACAGCTAGGTGCTTCCCTTTGTTGCTCTGGGGATATAAGGCTGGTAACCCCCACCTGATATTCATTATACTGTATTCAGTTAGCAAATTGAGGAGAGACAGTAGAAAATTGACTAAGGTATTGAAGTAATTGTTGTTTTGTAAATATATTTTCACCCTGAGCAACTTTGTGTGAATGTATATTTTGTTGTCAGATGCTGGCCATGAACCGGGGTGAACATCAGGGAGTTTTGTCTGTGAAGATCGTTATCCCAGACAACACCTATGTTCACTTTTTCAATTTCTGCCAACAAAAGTGGTTAGGACTCGCCCCACCCCACTATTACCGCACACAGCTGGTCATGATGAGTATAGAGGACAGTTGGGAGAGACTTGGTAAGTACAACAATGGCTTAGTAAGTAACGTTTTATATCTGTGGTTTTATTGAACTCTGTAAAGAGGAACAAGTTCTCAGAAAATGTATTACAAAAAGTACCAGTACAGGTGCTCCTCTACTTAAGAACATTCAACTTACAAACTTTCAGAGATACAAACATCATCACTGAGGGGGTTTACCTGCCAGAACAGGTGTTTAATGTGGATGAGACTGGATTATTTGCAAGAAAATTCCAGATAGAACAAACATTACCAAAGAGGAGAAGAGTGAGCCAGGTTTTAAGGCTGTATTAAAGGGTATAGCTGTACTAAATATCCATAATCTTTTCATTTCTTACAATATGTTTGGTATCTACAAGAGTAAAGTTGGACTTACAAACAAGCCTCAGGAACGTAACTTGTTTGTAAGTAGAGGAGCACCTGTATTGATTTGTATTTTTCTTTAAGAAAGATGTTTTTAATCATTTATTGAAACTATGGTTATAAATGTTCTAATGTAAGACAAGGTTTTAGAAAATGAGTTTCGTAGTTTCTGTACATTTTGTACTTATTATAAAAATACATTAGAGTTTGATAATACAGTACAGTTCTGTAATAATGTAGGTTATTTACTCGGTGAAAAGCTTGCCATTTACAGTTCTGTTATGTGTGTAGTTCTGTACATTTACTTATCAATGTACTATTGTGGGTACTAGTCAGAGCCAGACTGGGAACTGAGCTTGGTGTCCAGTGATAATACAAATATTAAATAATAGTACTGTATCACCTTTCCCCGAGATGAATAATGATTTATTTTGCAACAATTGATCGGATACATGGTTTTCATTTTTCCATCTAGTCAAACCGTTCATGCAGAGGCAGATTCGCAGCGAGTTAACAGAGATGGCAGAGATTGCTTCTGTTGAGGTGTTTGCTGCTAACCTGAGGAAGCTGCTCCTTACACCACCAGTGAGGGGGAAGACAGTACTTGCCATTGATCCTGGTGAGTCACTTGTGTCCAGGAAGTTCTATTAACCCTTAAGTGGAGAGGCTATAACATTTGCCAAAGAAAACAATGTGTATATTTTGGAATCCTCAAGGATAAAAATTTTATGATTATTTTGATTCCTGCAGGTTATGCAAATGGCTGCAAGATAGGTGTCACGAATGCCACCGGAGACCAGCTTCTCACAACCACCATTTATCCATTCCGTGGCAAAGAACATCTACAGGCAGAGGATTGGTGTAAGGACCACAATGCAAGAACACTCAGGGAAATTGTCCACAAATTTGGGTAAGATCAGAGATGGGTTTTGTGGGTAAGAATCCAATGCTTTTCTTTTTTTACAGTACAGTAATAGAGTATTAGTTTGTACTGTAGGGGGAATATTCTACCTGATGGCTCCCTTTTATTAGTGGATAAGACAATTTTTTTAAGCTAGTTCCTTTATTTGTGTCATAACCTGTTTTTACAATTTTTTATTGGGTATTTTATGAGCAATTTGAAAAACAAAATTAAAAATAAAAGGTTTCCATAATTATTACAGTACCAACATATGGTAACCCTTCCCTTCCCCACACATGAAGCAGTGCTGTATTAAACACAGATATTTCTATCCCAGTTAACAAACAACAAGCAAAGTATCGTAACGAACTACTCTCAGAGTTCTCTCACATCTATAGAGTCGTGGAAACTCATTATGAGAAATTTGTGGAAATTTTAAATATTCTTAGAATATTAATATGATAAGGTCCCCGTTGAGGAACTATTTCAGAGTAGCTTACACGGATCTGTAAGGTGATGTAACATGCCACTAGACAAGTCTCCCAGGAAGTTTTTTATTATGTGCAGAACCTTAATGTGTATGTGAATCATTTCATACCCTTATCTATTAATTGGGATTTCATAATTCATTCCTTTATGTGTTAGTATGTTACTGTGGCTAGAGATGTTTGTCTTAATACAGTCTTTCTAACTATGTCTTAATTCTCTCATGAAGGTGTGAGCTGTTTGCTGTGGGTAACGGAACTGGCTGCCGGGAGACGGAGACTTATTTAACTCGTTTGATAGCTCAAAAGTGTTTTGACCCCTACAATGTCCAGTACACCATTATCAATGAAACTGGTGCTTCTCAGTATTCTTGCTCTCCTGAGGCTAGAACAGAGTTCCCTGGACTTGACCCTAATCATATTAGTGCTTGTGAGTGTAAATGCCATTTCCTGTCTTATGACAACATATATACAGTATACAGTACAGTACTCTTATATAACCCAAAACCTTCAAATGTTCAGCTTCTGTACATCTTTTTCACAGAAGACTTATTATTTTTATATATATTTTTTGTTTATAGTTTGTGGGAAATAAGATACTAGTGTAAAGTGAGCAGCCAGTAAATTAAGAAGTGGGGTGCTGATGTGATATAGATTCATGGAAGAATAAATCAAAACTTTAAAAGAGATATGGGAGCAGGAGGAACAGATGATGGAGTTTTGTGAGATTGAAGGAGTGTGTGTGTGTGTGGGGGCATCCAGTGACCAGGTCACTTTGATGTATGGGAGAAAGACGGATAGAATATTTTTCCTCTGTCTTCATCTTGCTCATGGAATTTTATTTATGTTTTTTAGAAAATGAAGTTAACTAATTCATTTGCAAGACTTGGAACATATATTTAGGGTAGCTGCTAAATCTTTATTACTTGAAGATGTTAGATGACTTAAAACTTATAATATTTTTAAGAATTCAAATTGTGTTGTGTTACTGTGAATGTAGAAAATACCTTATATTTTACAGCCTCTCCAGTTTTCAGAAGATTTTATAAATTTTTCTTTTTAGAAAGTATACTAACAATTTCTTCCCTTTGCACATCAGTGTCATTAGCAAGGCGACTCCAGGACCCTCTTTTAGAATACATTAAAGTCCATCCAATGCACATGGGTGTTGGCATGTACCAGCACGATATACCCGAGCGTATCTTGCACGCCTCCCTCGACTCGGTCATGACGGAGTGCGTGTCCTTTGTGGGGGTCGATATTAACTCGGCGTCGGAATTTGTCTTTAGGTATGCCCCTGGCAATACTGTTGAAGTTGATGAGATAGTGTTTATATTGTACTACAGTATATACTAACATTTGTTGATTTGTTATTCAGGTTCATCATTGGTTTTGTCCACACACACACACACACACACACACACACACACAAAAAAAAAATATGATGATACAAAGTTGATCTTGTAATTATAAAACACATCAGACTTTTTTTTTAGATATCCCATTCATAATAAACTGTAATCCTTCATTCTAATATTCCAGAAAGCTCTCTGGCCTAAATAAAAGCTTCGCGCGGCAAATATCGTAGAATATAGAAAATCCAAGGGGCCGTTCATCAGCGGGAACAGCTCAAGTCTGTCAAGGGTATCGGACCTCGGACGTTTGAGCAGTGTGCTGGCTTCATCAGAATTTTACCCGAGACCCTGGAAATAGAGATCAACAGGTGAGTGAGTGGCTGGTTTTGACTAAGAGATATTTTCTGGGGAGTGGATGGCATTGTAAAGTCACTCACGAAGTGTCCTCTCGCCTCTCCTCCTGAAACCAGGCCCTGAGATTCAGAACTCGTGAATCTTGGACGTTTATGGACAGGATAATGGATCGGTGTATATTGCTTCGGGTTCCGCGGCCTGAATCTTGGGGTTCATGAAGCAGCAGAAGAGGGGACATGACCTTTGTTTTGGGGTGACTGTACCCCTGGGAATAAAAGCAGTCATCACCATCTGTTTCAGAGTTTGGTATTCAATAGATCGATTCCAATTTCAAACATGAGGACTAATTGAAATTTTAAGGTTTGGTTATAGAGAGTTATTAGTGTAAGATACATTAATAAATAAAGTGATGAGATTATTTTAGATTTTCTTTTCTCAGCCAAATTAAGAAAAAATACTAAGGTACTCAGAAAATTTGAATAATACAGTACAGAGTCTAAAGTATTGGACAAATTATAGACCACACATTATATAGTATAAATATGTTGTAGACCAAGATGCTGTAGTAGTAACGAAATAAACAAACCCATAAAAATATTACAAATACCAACTGAATTATTTATTTTCCAGAACACCTCAGGAAAAGAGCAGAAAAAAGCGTAAACCCATTTTGACCCATCGACGATCCATCCGAGTCATATCCGCCTCATCCAAGTTTGTGCTCATGGTTGGAGGGCGAGCACAAGACATCGGAACTGAACATTTCATCCATGACATCCGACACTTCATGCAGAATTCAAGTAAGGAGTTAGAAGGTTAGGTTAGGAAAGATTAAAATAGGTAAGGTTAGTATAGCTTACATTAGATAGGTTAGGTTTGGTTAGGTTAGGTAAGGATTTTGTGCTGAACTTCAATACTATACAGTACTGGGAGACAGGTGATAAAATTATGTTATTTTACTTGATTGACTAAAGTCTTTCATGATCTTTCCTTTTGTCATAAATAAAAAAAAAAAAATTATAAATATACATTCTTTCTTATAGATGGTTCAGTAACTATCAGTCATTTCTCTTTCATGGATGGTTCAGTATCAATCAGTCATATCTCTTTGGATGATTCAGTAACTATCAGTCATTTCTCTTTCATGGATGGTTCAGTATCAATCAGTCATATCTCTTTGGATGATTCGGTAACTATCAGTCATTTCTCTTTCATGGATGGTTCAGTATCAATCAGTCATATCTCTTTGGATGATTCGGTAACTATCAGTCATTTCTCTTTCATGGATGGTTCAGTATCAATCAGTCATATCTCTTTGGATGATTCGGTAACTATCAGTCATTTCTCTTTCATGGATGGTTCAGTATCAATCAGTCATATCTCTTTGGATGATTCGGTAACTATCAGTCATTTCTCTTTCATGGATGGTTCAGTATCAATCAGTCATATCTCTTTGGATGATTCGGTAACTATCAGTCATTTCTCTTTCATGGATGGTTCAGTATCAATCAGTCATTGTTCTGTCTGTCTGACTAAGGGACAGTAGGGGTTACACATGAGCATCCCAGTTTTAAATCCTTGTCCCTCTGTTAACCTTTATTTGCTATTTCCATTGTGTAAGCTTGGAAGGGCGCTGTAAAAGTGGTGGCGACGATGGTGGTGTTGATGATGATGGTGTTGATGATGACTACATTGTTTTTATTGGTACTGTACTTGTGTTATCATTGTATTTACATTATTCTCGTTAGTTTAAGAAAGTTTATAAGACTTAAGGACCTATAAATTAAGAAAAAATTAATACAGTGAAACCTTCATTTTACAGATTTCTCTTTCCAGATAATCTGTTAAATAGGGTTTTTTTTCCACCTATAACAGACCCTCATTATAATGGACTTTCCTCTCCATATAGTCTGTTGAATAGAGGTTTCACTGTATCAAGACTTTGGAATAAGAAAAAAGACCTATTGAGGAATTTCTCTTATAGATCAGTTTTCAAACTTTATTTTATAATCTTTTTTTACTATTAGTCATGTTGAAAATGTTTTTTAATACATTTCAAAACTACAATTAGGAAATAGGTCATTGGGATGGATTTCTGATAAGTGACCCATCAGTACCCATCCTTACCGAGTGGACCCGTGTCTTCTCTCATATGTATGGGTCTCTGTCAATGAGCCACTCTCTCACAAATTAGTCTGAAGAAACCTTTTTAAAATCAAACAATGAGCAAAGTTTTTCATAGATATAACATAAACAAGTCACTCTCATATTGAAAATGAAACTTATATTCTCTTGAGGGATGTATAGTGATTAGATATTGAAGAAAAACAAAATTGAGGGCTACCAGAGGAAAGTTACTGATACTTTGACATGTTCTTATGGTACTCTTATGGTCAGCAAGATGATGTTGATATAGCAATAACAAGTGATCGCGGGCACCTTCATGCCCAGTGAAAGTTTAAACGCTCGTGTTTGGCTAGCGTACAGCGAATGAGGGTGCGCCAAGTCCGTAGACTTGCATCGTTTTCCATCGTAAATAAAATGGTCAATTAATGCCTTCCTAAAGTAACCATCGACATGGGACCAGGTTTGTTCCACTCTACGAATTTTTTACGATTTTTCCACCAAGTTTGATGAAAAACGATTGTGCCGTTTTGGCTGCCCAGAACAACAGCTAGTCCTATAGTATTAGATTAGTTCTGTATAATGGTGTGACTGGTATTGAAATACACCATAGAAATTTTAACTTGTAAAAGAGAGATGATTGTAAAGTAAGAGTATATACACATCAGGGACTCAGACTAAGCCAGTGATTAGCAATTTTCAATGGTAAATGTAGTTCTAATTATTGGCTTTTCAATTTAAGGATCTGACATGTCATTCACCTGCAACATATTATTCTTGTCTGTAAGGATTCTGGCACCAGGCACAACTACAGATTTTTTTTTTAAGGATGACCACCTACCTGCTCAAATTGAATCCCTTATTATACTGTACATTTATAATAGGTCTGGAGTCGGTGGCCGAGCAGTGCGGGGCATCTGTACCAACTATGCAACTCATTGTCGAGGGTCTAGCACAGCCTCTTGACTACGATATTCGTGCTCAGTTTGAGAAGCCTCTGTTCCGTAAGGGCATTACTTCCATAGATGACGTTGTGTTGGGTACAAAGCTAACAGGTAAGGAGCACATTGGTTTTGTCCGTAGGTGAGGTAAGCTTTTTTAAGTGATATACTGAATAAAAAAGATCATCACTCCCCCATTTTGTTAACTTGATATAAGAATAATGACAATACAGGTTGGGTTACCCATACTGGTGAAATGGTTTGAACTGGTCTACATCAGAAGGGAAGTAATGATGTAAACAAGAAACATTGATATAGTATTTTATTCTGTTGTATGAGAGAGAGAGGAGTGAAACAGCTTCTGGGAGTTGGTTTATGATCTTGAATTGTCTTGAGTTGTTGTGTCTCTTACTTCCTTGGGTGTATTATGCACTGAAGGCTCTTGGCTTTTTTGTGCTGTAGTTCCTCCCATGTTTAAGAGTGTCTTAACAGAATTCTTGGAGCTCAGGCTGTGGTGTCTGTAACTGGAAAACTTGAGACAAAAATGAGGTGTAGAGATTTTTGCATGGTAGTTTAAAGCTTTGGATGTTAGTAAGCGTGTTAGACTTACTGTACTAAACACTTGTTGTACCTACGCTTAACTCGGCTCTTTTTCTTCTTATGCTGGCAGTGCCTGTCTATGGTGGACGGCTACAGGTAACTTGATTCTTTTTAAGATGATTAGTTTTAATTATTTTTTAATTTGTCTTTTATATATATATATATTTTTATACTTTTCCTGATTATATTAGGAAAGTTTTGGAATTAACATTTTAAGATTTTTGTAATGACAAGCTAACTCACTGAAGCAAAAATATATACAAAAGAGAGTATTTTTATTCCCATGGTTGGTTCTCTGCTTTGTGTTCACTTTCATTCCTTGGTTTTAACTGGTGATGTGCTCTACATCATTCTTCAAAGACCTGTGAAATCCATAGCATAAATACATATGAGGTAGAGTCAACCTTAGCAGCAGGACACATTAGCTAGGTGAACAGGGTCAGATGATGCTCTCACTTTAAGCAACACTTTCTCTCCCAGTTAGAGAGTAACAGATTTGATCTGGTGGTTAACTCGAGGTCCACTAAGGCTTCATATACAGTACGGGGTTGTAATGGTTCAGGAAGATTTTGTGGTTTGTACTTCTAGAAGCATAAAGGAATATTCTTGTGCCAGTCCCTCGGCTCCCACAGAGAGAAGCAGCTAACATGATTCTTCTCCTGGCCTCATTTCACCATGATTGTCCAGTGACTTTACAGTAGCAATTAAGTCAAAAGGATAAATGTTATGTGCAGTATACATTTAATATTATTGAGGAGGTTAAGGTAAGGGTTCAGTTTAGGTACTGCAGGTGTTTGTCAGTTTTTCCTTAGGTTTTCTTCACATGTAATCTTAGTGGATTATAATGATGGTAAGTACTGTATGTGGGGCTGAAATATTCCATGGGGTTATCAGTCTTGGAAGGTTTTGTCTGAACAGCTTGGATGATAAATTTTGAAGTTGAAAGCACTAATTTACATGGTAACTGGCCTGTCTCCTTCCCTTTACAGAGACAAACACTTGTCTAATTTGGAAATGATTAGGATTTAAGATTTTCTGCTGTTTCTGGTGAACAATATTTGGTGAGTCTTGAGGAAGTCTGCCACAGAAACCACAGACATGATCATTTGTGCACTGAGTGGTAGTTACGTCTGTGAGTGTTGGTTATCCTGTAAGACTGAGTCTGCTTTGCCGCATGATCATTACCTACTTGTACCCTGGGGAGAAGTCAGTATAGATTACAGTTCCTGCAGGGTGATTCAAGTTATCCCCCAGACACAGAACTTTTGACAGTTTGGATCTTCCGTGGCCTTACTTCAAGGCTTTCAGATTTTAATGCCATTTACTTGAATTTTTCCACATGTTTCTATTTAAATCAATAACCCGTCACATTTAATTTAAATATCCTGTATGATACTTGTTTCAAACCATTGTTTACCATGCCTGTTATTCCTTTTCCACACTCAAAAGCTCAAATCATCTTTAGTAGTTGTGTTCTGTACTATAGTTTTTATTCTCTCCAGTGTACAAGTATAAGTACTGAAACAACCTTTATCATATTACTGCACCACAGTCTTAATTGTACCACACACAAGCAACAACTGCCTTACTAGTGTTACTGTACCACTTAACTGAATGGTGACATTAACCCTCTCGTGGTCTTTCGACACAAATTGCATCATAAAGCTCTCCCGTGTTGGCGCGACCCTCCCGCTCAACCGTATCTCGCACTGAGAGCACCCTTCCCATAAGTAGAAATGCAGGGAGTTCCTCCCACTAGCCTCGTGGGTTGGTTATCTAGCTTATATAAAAGTGCATTTATATACAATCAAAACCTATTTAATCTTTGAAAATACCACTTTGAGATATTAGTGGCTTAGTATAATGTGTGTCACTACTACACAAGGTTACGTTGACAGTAAAATGTACTACAGATGCTCCTCTACTTAAGAACATTCAACTTACAAACTTTCAGAGATACAAACATCATCACTGAGGGGGGTTACCTGCCAGAACAGGTGTTTAATGTGGATGAGACTGGATTATTTGGAAGAAAATTCCAGATAGAACAAACATTACCTAAGAGAAGAGTGAGCCAGGTTTTAAGGCTGTATTAAAGGGTATAGCTGTACTAAATATCCATAATCTTTTCATTTTTTACAATATGTTTGGTATCTACAAGAGTATAAAGTTGGACTTACAAACAAGCCTCAGGAACGTAACTCGTTCGTAAGTAGAGGAGCACCTGTACTTGTGGTCTGCTATGTAACCTTTTAACCAGTCATGAAGCATCAGTACAGTTTTTGTCACTACTGGAGGTGTTTTGTGTAACTGGATCCTCTACCTCCACAGTCACGTTTAAAATCCAAAGTAAACTGCTGTCTGCTTTCAGTATCTCTTTGGATCACCTGAAAATTACTGGTAATCACCTGAACACTAATGTATCCTAACATAACATAACCAGCATTATCCTAACCTAACATTATGTAACCTAACCTAACTTAACCAACATAACATAATACAGACCTAACCAGCATAACATAATACAATCTAACATAACCTAACCTAACATAACCTCTTTTGTGGGGGCTAAATCAGTCAAAGGTCAAGGTCAATTGGTATTTGATTTCTCAGTACACCAAATGATAGATAATACAGCTTTTGAGAATAACTACCAATGGTTTAAACTTTTTCTCGTGTCTTTTCAGGTTCTGTGAGAAATGTAACACACTTTGGAGCCTTTGTGGATGTTGGACTGGGCAATGATGGTCTCGTCCACTCTTCTAAAATGGGTGGTGCAAGACTAGAACTGGGGAACATCGTGGAGGTGACGGTCATCAACATCGAAAAGGATCGTGCCCGAATAAGTCTCATGTTAGAGCGAGTGCTTGGTTAAACCCACGTCTCTCAAAAAGGTCTTAACCGTACTTCAGAGTTCATTGTCCTGCTTAATGGTCGTCTTTCATCGAATAATGTGTATGAATCAGCCGGCTGCCATAGGATTGTAAGTATAGAATAAAGGAAAAAATTCGTTGATAAATGTGAGGAGTTTAATCTCAGAATACTGTGTCATCATAATCTATGCCTTTGCTAATGGTTACAGTCGCCCACAAAATTCCTGTCACCTCTCCTCCTGGACCACGAACCCAGAGAATCAGATTTGTGAATCCAAAGCATTTATGTTCTGAATAATGCATCAGTGTCTACTGCTTTGGGTTCACTAGTCTAAATCTCGGGGTTTGTGGAGCAGCGGGAGAGGCGACAGGACTTTTGTGGATGACTGTGCCTCTTGCAATCTCACACTGATATTTTTAGTCAATTTTTTTTATATGTACTTCGAAGCACAGAGGATAGGTTAATTAAAGCATTAAAGTTTAATCAAAGCTGAAAAATCCAAACACCTTAGTAGCTGGGACCAAGCAGTGTGCAGATTCCTAAACGTTACGTACAATACAGTATTTATTTGTAATAAATATATACTTGTATATCCAATTAAATGCAAGGATTTATAAATCGAATACAAACATTCTTGATACTGTAGTGAGTTTTATTTTGAGGTTTTGGGTATGTGTGTGTGTTGCTGCTACTGCATGTGGTCATTGTGATTTTCTGATAGTGTGTGGAGCCCAGGTTGTGGTTTTGCATGAGATATAAATTAATTTTTTTTTTTTTTATGGAATGATATAAAGAGATCCATATATACATAAAAGATACACGAAGCAAACGAAAGAAATTTTGATTGGGTGTACAGCTAGACTCCGACTTACGACGGGGTTAGGGACCCAAATCCAGGTCGTAAGTCCGACATGGTCGTAAGTCCGACATAGATAAAAAAAATTGTAATAAAAAATCTACAATGAAATACAGTACAGTGAAAGCAATAAAGAATGAGGAATGGATACAGTGTGACTGAGCACTTACCTTTAATGTAATCAGCTAAATGCACATGGGGCCCCCATAATTTTCTAATTATACATGGAGACTACATTAACTGGAAACGTTTTGGTATAGAAAATGCGTGTCATTTGAAAAATTTTTTTTTTTTTTTTAATAAAAAATCTGCGGCGGTCGTAAGTCCCGACGGTCGTAAGTCGAAGCAGTCGTAAGTCGGGGTCTAGCTGTATATTGTTATGACGTTACAGGTGCCAGTACAGTATGTGTGTGTGTTACCACTATGTCAGCATTATGCGTCATACTGTGCTTTTATCTTCAAATTCTGGTGATTTTTTTCACTAGGAAGGGGAGCCAGAAATCACACCTTTTTCACTTCTTCATTGCTTGAACCACTTACATACCACTATGCCGAGCTTTGATGTCCTTCTTCCACACCCAGCACTTGCCAGTCGCTTATAAAAGAGAACTGATTGATTTCCCAACACTTCATTAAGCTGACAAATGGCAAAGTAAAAAAAAAAACTAAAGAAAAGTTACTTGACCATTTCCTTCTTTATTTACCACTCCACACAGAATTTCAAAATGATGATGGTGTTTTAATTCTTACTCTATAGATACTACAGGACACATGTCTTGGGTAACAGTAATGGCTCTGCAAGTGTTACATTGGCTTTTATTCTATTTATAAATTATAGATGACGTTAACATGCAACTAAATTAAAAAACTTTTTTTTTTTTTTACGTTTGCCATATTGTGATGGTAGAGGAAGCTAAGCCAAGTAAGCAGACCATATTTACCCAACACCTCTTTGCCTTGACATTCCGTTATCTCTTGCATTTTTCACATCCATACTAATTACAGTACTTTCCTGGTCACATTGGCTGCTTTACCAACACTCACTTACAGGGCCTTTCTCCAGACATGATGGGCTTAAGATTATCACTCAATACACAGGAGAATTTGAAAAAGGAGATAATATAGAAAGAATCATGACATAAGTTTTGGCAGATGGGCCTAAAATTTTTACCTGACACACACAGGTGGTTGTGGAAAATGAGAGAGCACAGAGATATAGAACTGGCGGGAGTTTTTGCGAGCTGTTCAGTGTATGCGTTGTTGATTAGACGAGCACTAATTGGCAGAGATGTGAACAAAGATGAATGCAGACAAGTTCGTTGGTTTGTCTCTGTACACGATGGAATTTTGTTTTATTTATTTTTTTATGTTACTATTATATTTATTAACTCCTTGTGCACAAGGTGTGGGGTCTCTCTGTGCTGAATAAAATCGTCTGGCTTTAGTAAAAATCGTCTGACAAATACAAAAAAAAATAATAATAATAAAAGTGACGTTCCATAGTGAAGGGGTTAATTTTTTTTTCCGGACCATTACATGAAAATAGGTTAGACAAATCTCTGTTATAAGAGGTCTGTCTGTATTGTGTTTTGACTGTTGCTTTCCTTTATTAGTAGATCAGCTCTCACCTTGTTGGTCCTTGTGAGCACTGTCTGTGTCTGTCTGTCTGTCTACTTGTCTACTGTTGTTGGTTCTTGTCATCGTTCACCAGCACTCGTTGGTGTGCCTCATTCAAATACTGAAATATCCCATTCAGTGAAGGTTGTCTTCCCTCTCTATATCCATATATTTCTCTCTCTCTCTCCTCATAAGGCAATTCTCAATTTATTCCCTTTCTTTTTTTTTTCTTTTTTTTTTTTGTTGAGAGTTGGTGATATTTATTCCCAGTTGTGATAGTCAAAGCAACATTTAGAACCTTCCTGTGAAGTATTTTCAAATGTCACTAGAGAGTTGATAAAAGAAGGTGTGAAGAAGTGTAAGGCAAAACCTTAGTGTGACTGTCTGTACCTCCAAGGAAAGGTCCCCAAAGAATCGGGGCATTATATTGATTGACAGTTCCTTTCAGGGTGATGAACTCTGCAGTCTGTATATTTCACTTTGAAGAGATTAAAGACAGAAATGCAGTTGTATTGAAGGAAATTTAACTGCAGTGTGGTTTGAAAAGAGCTGTTTGAGTGAGGTGTTGTGAGGACCTGGTGCCCCCAAATTGTTGAAAGTTGCCCCATTTTACATGCAACCTCTCATACTCATAGTTGAAAACTTGAAACTAAAAAGCTGTGCCTTGTTGCAGTGTTCTGTAAACTGTTACTATCATAGAAAGAAGACCCATAGAAAAATTAGTGTCATATATAATGAAGACAAGACGTATGTTCAGTATAATGCATATGGAGGTAGTGTATTGCTAATTACTGTTCTAAAAGAAAAATTCCAAGATAAATTAATCTACATATATTGTATAGGATTTATGCATGACCTACTGTAATTGAATGTTTAATTTTATTTTCCAATGATCTGTAAATAAATGGTCAGTTTTGGAGATCTCACAAATGATTCCTTCTTTAGTCTTTATAAAACATGTAAATTGTAATCCCTGATTGATTAGACTCATGTTCACTGACTTACTGAACATTGTAACTTATGATGGGTGTTGCCTATAAAAACATGCTTAGTTCTGAGATGCATCTCTCTCTCTCCCTATGTACTGTATTGGCATGCTTACTTTTATATGAAGATCTCTAAAAGTGGACTTCACACACACTGTTCATATCATTATGCATAAAATGAGAGGTACAAAATATTAACTCTATTAGTAAGCTTTTCGAGCATACCTAATACTATAGTATGTGTATCATACAGTTTTGTACTGTATATTGTATAGGCAATCCCAAATGTGCAGGGAATTAGTGCAACCAAGGATCCTCTTAATTTGGGATACTGTAATGTTATTGCACTGTCCCCTCCAGATATTTTAATTTACTTGTGACCCATTAAAACAGTTGCTGGAATTTAGTTTTTAATAGAAATGAAAAAAAATATATATATGTATTGGGTATTGGTTTATTATAAGGTAATTGTCTTGGATGTAACAAATGTAACAACTTATTATGGATGGAGCGAACAGTAGGGTGGAAATTACTGTAATCGTGTAACATTATTTGTTAATGTTCTTTTGAATGGAAGAAACACATGCTGAAAATTTAGATTTGTTTTAAGTTCAGTACAGGGGGTCTCCGACTTACAGAAGTCCGACTTATGAACGAAGTTAAACTTTAAATTTAGAGTACAGTACAGGTATTTTATTTACCTGATGACTTAATTTCTTACTTTCATTTACTGTATCTTGTCATTCTATTTCTTATTTTCTCTTAAATTAAGTGATTTTAGGTGTGTATAAGGACTTACGCTAAGATATAGAATCCCTAGAAAAATTCAGAGGGGACTGACAAGACTAATCCCGAGCATTAGGAACCTCGAGTACAGAGACAGGTTAAAGCATCTTAATTTGCACTCCTTCGAGAGATGTAGAGTGAAGGGCAATATGATAGAGGTGTATAAATGGAAGTCGGGGCTAAACAAAGGGGACATAACAAAGGTACTCAAACTATCCAACTAGGAGCGAACTCGTAACAATGGTTTTAAATTAGACAAATTTAGATTTGGGCGCGAAATAGATAAACATTGGTTTGGAAATAGAGTAGTGGATGAATGGAACAAGTTACCAAACATCATTATTGACTCGAATACGATGGATAGCTTCAAACATAGGTTGGATGGATATATGAGCAATAGGGGTTGGGTGTAAATGGGACTGCCCAGTGTGGGCCAATAGGCCCGCTGCAGTTTCCTCCATTCTTATGTTCTTATGATATTAGACATTGTTCTGTAAGGACGTTTCAACTTGCTTACATTTTCGACTTAAGAACGTCCTCAGGAACAGAACCTGTTCGTATCCCGGGGATCCCCTGTACCTGTACTGTATTAAAAGGTACCTCACCAAAAACTTCTCGAAAGCTATAAGCACTCTGCAATCTGAAAAATGAACGAAGAATCTGAAACCATTCCGAGATGACAAGCCCCATTCTGCTCATTTTCACATCCGTCATGTCTAGGTGTTTTGAGAAGTCTTTGTTGAGTGTACATACATAGAGAAAAAATTTTAAGCAACATTTGGAGTTGCCAGTTTGCCATACTATTTATAGCATTTGACATCTGTGATGTTTTGTTAGTTGTAGTTTATTGTTAAAGGATATCAAATTTGCCAACTAAGATGTGAAATAAAGAAAATTTATATTAATTTATTTTATTTTATTTTTTATAGTATCTGAGCTGCTTGATTTTTAACTATTATAGATAAACAAAATACAGTAGCTTTTGTGTGTAAAATGGGGAGGTGTTGGGGAATTGAGTCAACCTTATTTTAAGCATGTGCAACCTGGAGTTTGGGTGGAAAATGAAGCTAATGAGAAATGGTGTGTCTGGGAACAGTACGTGTAATGAACAGAATGCTGGGAATGTGACACAGATATAAGAAAGATATATACTGTCAAAATAGCAGAGGTGTTGGGCAGAGAGTGGTTTGGGTCCGCTTGGGTGGTAACGACTCAATAAGGGAAAAGGAATTGAATGACTGGTAAAAGAGTACAGAATGCATGTAATTTAGAGAAGGATGGAATGAGTTAAGAGAGGAAGATCAAGGAAATGGAAGGATGTGTTAGAAATGAATTAGATGGGTAACCGAGGAGCGTGCATGAATGAGGAGTGCAAGGCATTGAGGGATTCTTGGGAAGGATGTGCTACTTGTGGCTCATGCTGGCTCATGTCTAACAACAGATAATTCAGATTTTTTTGTGAAAAGAGTAATGTAGTAAAATTTTTATTTATTTATTTTACAGTAGCTTGATGAATGAGAGAGAAATGTGTCTAGATATTTGTTTATTTCTGGCCCTCCTTGCTATAGTACTGAAGGTCTGAATTTTATTTTTTTTTATCTGGATAATCTGCTGTGCCTCCCATTGGTAGGAAGTTAGTTTACCAAGGGATGTTTCTATAGTGGCATGCACAGTTAATAGTACAGTATTTTCATTTTATTGCTTGGTGTGCAGGCTTCACCCCGTCCACACTCACACGCAGGTATAAAGTACCATATTTTGGTGTATTTTTATCTATCACTGTGGTACAGCAGCTGATGCATGCCATGTATGGTCAGGCAACCTACTGAAAGTTGTGTAAAAGGAATTTTACATATACAAGTTCTCACTTTATGTATTTGTTTTTTAAAAAAGTTATCATTATTTACATTAAGCAATTTGCATTAACCCCTTGTGTACTGGTTCCCCTCTGAGCTGAATAAAATTGTCTAATATTGGCCACATAAATATTAAAGAAGCATTCCTGAAGTGAAGGGGTTAAGAAGTTGGAAGTCCCCTTATTAACTTCTCAGGAGATGTACAAATTATCCAAAGTAGAAGAATATGTTTTGCTTAAAGTAAAATTTGTGATGGAGGACAAATAGCTACTTATATTTGATTCTCATCAACAAAATGGGGAGCTTGTATACTGAGATATTTTTTAATTTCCAGGAAGGCTTACTATAAACCTGTATACTCTCTCCCAAAGATGTATCGGCCCCTTTTTTCATTGATACAAGGTGTTACAATGGACAAATATTTCTGATCAGTAATTGTGATTCCTGCATTATGTTGGTAGGCCTGTCTTCCTAGTATCTGTGAGGTTGCCATTTATTATTTCTGGCATTTGTTGTAATGACGGTGAATGACCGTGCTCCAGCTTTAGTAGAATAATATAACGATATTAATGCAGCGAAAATATATCAACAGCAGTCAAATACAGTTGTGGGTGTTTTCTGCTGGAAATCCTTGACCAACACTAATACCCGAGACTCATTGAAAAACACAGCTTGCACCGACAGACATCGTCTCATAGAGTGTATCAGATAGTGTTACGTTGCCAACACTAATCATGGGATATGTTATATGTTATATTCATAAATGTTACCTCTTCAATTGAGGTAGAAATAAAATCGAAATGCAGTAAATAATAATGTCATTGTAATTGGATGTGGCATCAAAATACACTTGTAATTACTATTTTGACAAGTGAATGTAATATCGGATCAAAGAGTTTCATATTTTGTTTGAAGCGATTCTATTGTAACCTCGGTCAGTGGCGGACTGGCCTACCAGGATACCGGGAAATTTCCCGGTGGGCCTCAAAGTGATGATCCATCACTTTGGAAATAAATGAAAAAAGAAAAAAGAGATATGAGGTATTAACGCAATCCGCCCTAATGCTACCGAATGTGACATTACTATGTCCGTACCAATGCACCCGAATGCGACCTGAAACTTTAGAGTGGGCCCTTTTACAAGTTTTCCTGGTAGAAATTTTTGACCCAGTCCGCCACTGACCTCGGTTCATGAAAACATAGTAACATTATATTCCTATTTGGTAACCCATTCTCTGAGGCTGATATACTACAGTACAGTAGTTTCTAAGGTGCATAAATTAGCGGGGTTACTCATGACGTTATTGGTTTTGCATATAGTGTCACAATTCATCTTTATTTCATTACATTATGTAGAGAATAGGTGGTATACTGTAGATATCATTGTTATTATCAGGTGCAAGAAGAAAGAGTGGAAGGTGCAACTCACAATCAGAAATATCAACTGAACCGAGACTGCTGTGCACGTGTTATTGTGTTCATTTCCAAATACATCAGGTTGGGGGCAATACTCTTTTGGGAGAGTGTACATCAGGTCGTGTACAGGAGGGATGTTTGATGTTGCAAAATTTTAGGAATTTAAGGTTATATTTTTATTGTGAAGCATTTATATATATATATATATATATATATATATATATATATATATATATATATATATATATATATATATATATATATATATATATATATATATATATATATATATATATATATATATATATATATATATATCCACAATGAAAATGTGGATAAGATAAATCTTGATAAAATCACACGGGAAAATGGGAACAGGAGCACCTTAGCTTTGTCTTTATTCAAGACATCTTCAGAGGCAACTGAAGATGTCTTGAATAAAGACGAAAGCTAAGGTGCTCCGTTGTTCCCATGTGTGATTTTATCGATATATATATATATATATATATATATATATATATATATATATATATATATATATATATATATATATATATATATATATATATATTTGTTAACAGAGGTTTCTTATTGAAATATGCATTCCTTTAGTTTAATAAGTATTCATGCAGACTGACTTAATTTGTGTGTGTTTGTGAATATCCTTACGTATAGTCTGTTCATTATGGAAATGTCTCGTTTGGGCTGTGATTGGCCAATTAGAAAACAAATAATTTGTTTCCACTGTGGGAACTGACACATAATCCGATCACAAAACCAATGTCATATTGCTGAGCGGGGTCGAGTGTAACTTTTCCATGATAAGCAGTTTGTAGAATGAATAATAGTCCAACTCATCCATACTAAGTGAGCTGATGACTGTCTTAACCATACACATTAGTGAATGTCAGTATGGTAGGAGTGACAGGTTGTGAAGGTGTCAACATTGGATTCCATAAATGTTTCATTTAGCAGAGAGGTTTAGAGTGAGAAAGGCATCGAGGATGCAGGCAT